AAAGAACCTATTGAATTGAAGCAAAATGAACCCATTAGAAATGTCAATGCAAAACTTCGAAGACAAGAAAGATTATAAAACTTCAAGTAGTGCAGTTTGGAGGGTATGAGTGTGCCTGAAATGAATACTCAAATCGACACCAACATCTCGAAAAGTTCAAAATAATGTTTTCGTATTTAGTTCGATGAACTATTTCAAATGATAGATGATTGCGTCATAAATTAGTGTGTACCCCCTTTTTTTGAATATTTTAAGACATCTTCGATTATTAGAATAATGGAAGGATTTACATATAGAAATGACGATAGTGGATGAAGAAAAGTGATTTATATCAGCATTTTCACATATGACATACATTCTTCAAAATTAGGAGATCGTTTTCAGTTGCACTAAGTTAAATCAATATTACTTGAGACATCGAAATAGGCAACTTCTCCTTGTTGCAACATAAGAATGCGATCACTGTTCGCTATTGTATTCAATCGATGTGCAATTGTCAGTATGGTACGATCACGAAACTTGTCTGCAATAACATTTTGAATCATACTGTCAGTCACATGATCAACATGGGCCGTAGCTTCATCAATAAGTAATATGTGGCTTCTCTTGAGAATCGCTCGTGCTACACAGATTAGTTGACGTTCTCCAGCACTTAAGTTACTACCTGATTCAGCCACTAATTGACTAAGCCCATCGGGATGATTACAGACCAATTGTTTGAGTTGAACAGCTTCAAGTGCTCTAAAACATTCTTCATCAGAATATTGTGCAAAAGGATCAAGATTGTATCGAAGTGTACCACAGAATAGAATTGGTACTTGTGGAATAATACTTAAATGAGAACGAAGTTGATTGAGTGAAAGACAGCTAATATCAATATCGTCGATGAGGATACTGCCAGTGATTAATGATTGATCGGCAAGACGAAAGAGAGCCTGAAGAAGTGATGATTTCCCAGCACCTAAACAAATGGTACCAATGGATAAACGAATATGGTGAATTTATGTCTGAATCTATGCGATGACTCGACTTTTGTTAGCTTTTCAAATAGGCTTCTCAAAAAAACTTTGAACTTACAGGAAGTTTCAAAGAAAATTTTCCATGTTTTATGATCTCTACAGTAGTTTAAGTTCTACAAGCATAGTTTTCATTGTTCCAAGTTCGAACAAGTGTGAATGCATACGATCATATTCTATTTGAATTATTCCAAGATAATAAAAAAATGATTATTTTCTGCTTCATTTGCTGTCTAACCCAATAAGCATAGTTTAGTCATTTCCCGACCATTAAATTAAAAAATATTCAACTTAAGCTCGATAAATATGTGTCTACTTAATTATAGCATACTGTAATTCGTTAGATTTTTCATTTTCCTGAATGTTTCACAAACCTAACTAAGACTATTAATTAGTTCCTTGAAAAGAAGACTATTGGAAATGTAAATTCTTTTTCTCATCATATTTATTATTCATTAATTAGTGATCATTCGAATAGTTGAAGCCTAATTCACAATTAATTCTTTATCAAGCCTATCAGCAACTTTAAATCCTCGATTTTCAAGTTGACATTTTGTACTTTTGGTCATCGAAATGCAATTTATATCAATGAAAGCATGTCTCGTTTTTATCTAGGTAAATCATGAATCGACTGGTTGAATTAGACTGCATTCATTGCAGAGAGTCATAAATTGACTAAATACTCCATTACAAAAGTTCTTTGGATTAGAAACTATATCATAAAGAAACACGATTTGCTGATGTTGTGCAGCCAAACACTTAATGATGCAATCACTATTGAGATGAACTCTCAGCAATGACCGAAATCGTACTACAACAAGTCTGATTAGTAGCTTATCACACTTTAAAAATACTCAAGAATGACCGAAAATGCCAGCTATGTTGCTAATCACACTATATTTTACAAAGTTCAATTTGCCTTTCTTTTTAAAAGCTTCTGATCGAAAATTGCCGACAATATAACTAGAAGTATAATTAGAAAAAAGTGATCAGAATCTTTTAGGGCATCTCGTCATTAAGACTAATACATTTTTCGCTTGAGTGAAAATTTTTGTTTTAATCCTTAACAAGAAGTTTCTGAAATAAGAAAGGATTCGAGTCCCACTGTCTCCTCTCTTTGATTCTTCTCTAAACTATTTCTTTGGTTAGTATTCATTTATAAGCATCATACGAGTGTGAAAAAAGAAAAGAACAACAAGAGTACGGCAAAGTTGCCGTTACTGTTATATTTGTTTAATGCTAGCAAGTCTTTACGAATAGCATCCGAAAAATATGAAACATTTTAAAGTTATTTTCCTAAGTGTTTTGTCAGATATGTCAGTTATTGGTTTTTCTCGCTCAGATTTCTATCGGAACAATTTTCAACCATTGTCAAGTGTATATTTCAAAACCTGAACAGATAATATAAGTAGTCATACCTGTACGACCAATCACTCCAATCTTTTCCTTGGATTCAATGCGTAGATTAAGATTTTTCAGCACAGGACCTAGCTCTGGTCGATAGCGAAATGTGTAGTCTTTAAATTCGATAATACCACGAGAAGGCCAATCATCTGGTGGTTGAATGAGTACTTCACTTTTACTATTGTTTTTATGGCTTTCGGGTGAAAGTTCACCATATTCATGAATACGTTCGGCACTTGTCATAAAATTTTCAGCTTCGGCTGATTGTCGTACAGCCCATTGGAAGAGAGTTGTAAAACTGATGCAGTAGGTGATGCTGAGAGCAGCTGCCGATGGATTGATTTGATGACGCAATGCTACCGCAAGAATAGCCGTAACCAGTGTGAGTAACGATGTCATATAGCTCAGTTGCAAGCCAAACCAACGACCAGCAGCAAGGAGGACGAAGTAAGCCCGAAAATTTGTATCAATTCTTTCCATGAACATGTTGATGAAATCATCTTGAACTTGAAATGCACGAATACTAGTGAGTCCTTCTAATGAAGATGAGAACAATGCATAGATTGGACTACGCGTTACACTTTCGAGCCGCTTGAGTTGACGACTTGAACACATGTAGAATCTACGAAGCCACCAAAATGCAGGAACCATCGGAACGAGAATTAGAAGCACCCATGGATTAATTATTCCGATTATTACGACAGAGCCGAGAATCATCACTAGATTTTGCATGGTATCGATTAAAGTCAGAGGTAATAAGTCATCTAAGACTTGTTGATCTTTACTTGCTCGATTCAATATTCGTCCGCTCGGATTACTTTCAAAAAAACGTAACGAAGTATATAAGATACCTGTAAGCATTCGATTGTGAAAACAAGTCGATCCACATAACATGACATAGAAGAGAAAGCTGGCACGCACTAATGCAGCGATCAATGTACCTAACGTCAATCCAAGATAGATATAGGCATCTAATGATGAACTTTCGTTTTTCTCAGATTTGGCAGACCAAAGAGAGAGCCAACGATTTGTAAAATCGTACAAAGCTTCGGTAGCGAAAAGTAAAATTATGAGTAGGAAAAATCCAAACCAGCGTAATGGTGGTGCGGTGAATAGTTGAAACCAAATAGCCCACTTGACAGCGCCTTCGGTTGATGTTTCGACTTTCACGATCGAATTCATGTCAGCTATAGCACTATTAGGTTTAAAATCAGCTTCATTGTCGTCAGATAAATCTGCTTCCGTTGTACTGTTCGATTGCTCATCTTCATCAACTTGTTCACTATATAATTCAACAATACGACCATTTGTCAAGCGAAGTGTTTGATCAGCTTCATCTAAGAAATGTATCTGATGTGTAACTAATATTCTAGTTTTTTCACGAAGGAGACTACGTGGGCCAATGCATTGATCAAATATTTTTTTTGCCACTTTGGGATCAACTGCAGCTAGTGGATCATCGAATAAATACAAATCAACATCAGTATAAAGAGCACGAGCCAATGCTACTCGAGCCTTTTGTCCTCCACTCAGATTGACACCTTTATCACCGATCATCATCAAATCTCCGACTTCACCAAAATGTTGTAGATCAATATCAAGACAACATGCTTTTATGACACTCTTATAACGTTCTTCATCCATTGGTTTGCCAAGTAGAATATTACTTCGTATAGTGTCAGCAAATATCCATGATGATTGTGGAGCATATGAAACAGAACGAACATATTGTCGTATTGATCCACTGACAAGATTGATCTCGCCGAGAATGGCAGCTAGTAGAGATGATTTTCCAGCACCGATAGCACCTTTCACTCCAACTAATGTACCATGTTTGATTGTGAGATGAACAGAATATAGACAAGGAGTATTTTTCCAAGAAAACGATGCATCTTCCATTATTATTGCATGATCCCCTTTTTCGTTTTCTTCTTTTTTCCGTCTATTCAGCAGTATTTCTAATGCCATAAATTGATCGATTCTTGTTGCTGCAACACGAGCTTCACTGAGCTTTTCAATAATCAGTGGCAATAGCGACGTTAATGGCGTTCGAATTAAAGAGTAGTAGGACAAAGCCGTAAAAACATCTGCTGTTAGTAACTTTTTACCCATGAGCCAACCACCACCAAATGTAGCAAGAGAAATTAAAGGTAACGATGCAAAGAAGATAGCAATATTAAGAGCACGCAAATGGCTAGATTTGAAGATACTCTGAAGTTCAGATCGTCGTGTATCATGTACTAATCGTTCCATAGCTTTTTCCCAATTGTACATTTTAATAATTTGACATCCGTTAACAAGCTCATTGATCGTCTGAACACGTTTATCCGTACATGCCATTGTTACCCTTCGGAATCGACTGAATAATCGACTGAATATGAGCTGTGTAGGTACTAAAAGAACGAGTATGGCATAACCGAACAATGTTGGTAAACCAATACTCCACCAGATGAGACCGAACATTATCAAAGCTTCAATGGGTGCAAACCATATATAATGAAAGTAAGAAGCCATTTCTTCAAATTTACTGGCATCATTTGCAACTAAATTGATTGTTTGAGCGGCAGTAGTCTTATAAAGAGACGCCGTATTGATCGTCAATAAATGTTTATAGATGGCACAACTTAGCATATTGCGAATGCGTATGCCGATTCGTTGATTTCGAAAAAAGATGTGTTGATGAATAATGGCTTGTAGAATCGAACAAAGTCCAAGGCCAACAGCTGATACATAACCAACATATGCCGGTAATCCTGATGTATTACTAATATAGAGAATTATTTCACGGATAAGTAATGGCAGTGCAACACGTGTCGCGCAGTAAGGCCACATGATCAACATGGTTTTTAAGAAATCTTTCATAAACGTTCGTCTAATTACATACCATGTACCTGGCCATTTAGAACTATTGTAACTCGCTTTGTTCAACAAAACGGAACACTTGTCATTAACTGAGATATCGCTAAAATCGTCATCAACAAGTGTACGCCGGTTTCCTAATGAAATCATTGGTTTAATCCACCACCAAAGTGCCACATATATCCATCTTATCCATGAAGACTCTGCCCAATCCAAACGACAGGATTCTCGTTTTTTACCTAGTATATAATTATTAGAGAAATGAACTTGAATTGTAGTCTTTTTTTTTGTGACTAACTCATATACAAGTTTGGTACTTATTTTCTCACAGCATGAGTGCTTTCCGATTTTCTTCTCTTGATGAAATAAAAAATTATTAGTGCTAGCCACCAAAAGAAATTATTTTGCCACGTATGTTAAAACGATCGATTTCTTAACAGAGGAGAAGACTATTTAAAAATCATTTATCCATTTGATCCACTTAACTTTTTCCGGCCGGCCGTCAGAAGATAGGTTGCAAAAAAAAAATAGATTCCTACATAATTTTTGTTCTTCTACCATAGGCATAGCAAAAATATATTTCTCGGAATAAAAGTGTCATTACGCCTCTAATGATTTTACGTTGCCATTAGGTAACATCCAACCGGAAAGGGTCAACATTTTGAAAAATTAATTTTTTTCGTGTATCAAACTAAAGCTTTTGTGATTTTTTTCATCTACTATATCTCCATAATAAGCTACAGTTTGTTTATCTGTTCCAGGTCAAAAGTCAAATATTTCGAGAATCTTTTCTAGAAATTATTTGAAGGGTGCAAAGTTAGCTAGATCTTTTCAAAAAAATTCTAGAAATTCAGGAATGTGGACACACGTATTCATTTCACACACACACACACATCCGCATATCTCAAACTGATTAATACTTGTGAAGCTCGATTGAATTCACTAGACCCTAAATTACATGTAGCTATCCTTATTTATTTTAATTTTTTTCTTAACCAACGAAAATTCATAATAAAAAAGACGCATGTTTTCTTTTTATAATAACTTATGTCACATCTAGAGTGAATTCTACGGATGTAAACCGGTAAAAAGGCAATGAGATGCTTGGCCCATCGTAAAAATATACTTAAAATGCTTTTTTCCCATCGCTGATAAATGTAGTAAAAGTAGTGAAGTGTTCAAGTATTCTTTTAAATATTCAGGTTTTATTCCTAATTATGAAAACAAAAATATGCTCAAAAATTACAAATACTTAAGTGCATTTAGAAGTACTTGTACTTTATATGTTAAAAAGTACGAACTAATCGAAGTACTGTTTTAAGTTGGTTATCTCTGTCATCAAATTCAGATAATGAATTTCGTTTATATGTGTACGTTATGTCAGTATAGTTCTTGCTTGCTGTCGATATTCCATAGCAGGTTCGACTTTTCAGATGATTTTTTCTTACTATTGACCTAATAAAAAAAAAGAAGCTTGTAGGTATGAATCCGAACTGCCAGAAAGTGTCTTAGAATTTGCATATTTTAAATCAACTTAATCAATTTACATACATTTCGTGTGAATTTAATCAAATTTCATAGAGATTCTTGATCGAATGATCAAAGTTGACTACATCTAAGACAAAGACTTGTTAGTGGCTAAAGGAACTAAATTCTGCAAGAATATGAACTTTAGCACGACATTCAACGCATTCATATATATATGCAACTACACTCTATAAGCGTAACTTGAAATTAGACTCATTTCGCTTCTCGTTTTCTTTGAATGAGAGTTGCATTTTTAGAATCACATTTAGCTTATCATTAATAGCACTTACTTTGTGCTTGATGACTCGAATTCGATGGATTCGGTAACGTAGCATTTTGCGTGTCTGACTGTATTGCCGAAAAAACTCGTAGTCGAGAAAAAATACGCATTCCTTTTTTTGATCTGTTCTTCAACTGCTATTGTTGCTGTAGATTTTGTCCTCGCTTCAGTTATCGCTCGCTTATTATCGATTGTGAAGAATGGATGGAGAAAACAATTTTATGATTTCTACTTTTATGGCGACAATTTTATTGCAGATAATTGCTGTTTTTAATGTAATTCGATTCTATAAAATCTTAGTAGTTTCTTATCTAACCACTTAATTAGTTAACTCACATATTGATACACGCATACTGCTTACAATTCATTATTACAGTTGTTCACAGGATGACAACTGTGTAGAGCGTTTGTACCTTCAATGATTTTCTCATCTTAACTAAAATATTTTTCTTTTATACACATTGGTTTCGTTATCGTTCTTTTATTATCTTACATCAGTTGTTGAAGTCTTGTTAAAAAATATATATAATACTCTAAAATATAGAACTCATATTTCTGATTTAGCTTCAATATACTAATACAAAATACACGATGTGTAAAATCTCTGAAAGATCACCCTCTTTTTACGACTATCATCGATTGTCAGTAAACACTCGCAAGCAGACACTTAAAAGCATACGATGGGTGCGACGAGCACTCGAGAATATGAAATAAATCTTCTTTTTTGTTCGTTCTGTTTTGATTTCGAGCTTCTCAGCAGTCATCGAATTTCGAGCACTCGAAAATTGTCCTATCAGAGATCTGTGTGCGACTCCTCGAGAAGTTTTCGATTCATCAATACATATCGAAGTTTCGAGTAATCAAGCAAAACAAAGATATAGAAAGAACCGTATTGAGCACTGCAATAGAAACAAGTCGAGTATAAAAGCAGTTTCAAGTAGTTAAGTTAATTTTGATTTTGTGAAATTTCTTTAAAAAGAGATTTGAGTGTGGGTTTTGCTATTTTTGTCATTGAAGCTCACACCCCTCAACGCACTCTCATGTAACTCTGTCTCGAGAAAAGATCTAGTGACTGCCTTGTTTGTATATCGGTTATGAAGCATCATGATCAAGTGCAGCACTTGAGATGACCTAATGATCCGGCTCACGTCCGGTTTTCAGAATCAAGGAGCCCACCAAATGTTCTAAAATTTATGTCGGTTGAACGCTTTTAACAGTTTCTTCAAATCGCTGAAAACTGAAATCTTATAAAATGTTGCATTGCTTTATGTCAATTAGTTTTCTTTCCAACAAATATAGTTATCGTTGAAAATGGGAGGTGCATGAGGATCGTACAAGTTCACACAGGACATTCCAGAAATAGAGCCACACCATGACCAGAACAGCTCAATTTTCGACTCCAGCGGAAGACAAAGTGCATTATCCGCCCAAATACTAACTCTTGTATCGTAAGGTTCAGGCAACCAGACACATTTGTTTCTAGTCACACTATTGCTACTTGCGATTGGACATATTTCGCGAGCCCAGTTCCATGATAATCCAATGTCGATGTTCGTACAAAGATAGTTATCTTGCCAACCTATTGTGCTTGTTTTCAATGACCTCATTTGCAGCGGCACGGCTTAATGAATAATCGCCTATAAATTCAGCTACTTCGATAGCTGTTTCTGATGGGGATAGATGAAGAGAAATTGAGTATGAAACCACTATAGAAGAAACAAAAACAATCGTTTGCAACGTTAGACACATATGTAATCCGTCGAAAAAAAAAATATGATGGAAGTTGTAAAAACTGACTCTCTTGCAACACAGATTGATTGCAACATAATAATAATGAGTTGGTTTCTACATATACTCGCGCCAGATGTGCTATTTACATGATGCTAATCGATTTTCTGTCGATTTTTCCCTGATAAGACATACTTAATCACATATGATCTTTGTATATACGAGTTATTAGTTTATCAAGACTCTCATCGAATATTACAATTTTTCTTATGATATCAAGCTCGTCGGCACAGAGCTGATTAGTTTATTACTCTTTTCGTTATCTTGCCTCTCAAGAAAAATCTGGGCAAAAATCAGATTAACGATCATTGCTTGGTGCGAGTGTAGATATTGCTATGTGTGGGTATAGATGTTGGGGAGGGTATGGGGTGTGAATATATGCGTTCTCTCGTTTGAACATCGTCACTGAAAGTCAGACCATACCCACACCTCACACTTCATACTCACATTCACACCCTTTTCCAGGTTACGGTGTGGGTATGGGTATGAACTTTCTTTTCATCCACTTTCACACCCATAATACCTGTCAAACATCAGTTTGTCATTGCTTTGCACCAAATTATGCCGAATTGTCCAAAAAAAGGATGGTCTTTAGTTAAGAGTGTTCATGAGAGCGACCACTTCGAGTGTTTTTCCAAATGAACATAAGTTTATAATTTGTCCCCTTGTGCTTGTAACAGACATCGAATTTTAGATCCATATTTAGCGTGAAATTTTACATGAGACAGATTACTATAGAAGTATTTAGTACGTAAGATCTTGCTTACAAGATGTTTCATTTCATTATAGGGAAAATGAAACCGATCAATAGCAGTGAAAAATTTTAGTTTCTCTTTATTTGACTGTTGACAAGTTTTGTTTAATGAAATAGAAATCATAATACATATTTGCTGAATTTCATGATTTTGTGTTCGATAAATTTGCATATTTTTGAAAATCTTATTCTCTTGGATGAACTATTCATTTACAGAGACATAACTATTAAATTCACAAATTCTATATCATTTGTTCTTTTTCATCCGATGTTCGATAAAATGATGTTGAAATAAATACATTTCATTTAATACAGTTATTAATAGTTTTAGTACGAATTTATATCGTTTGTTTAGAGAAATAATTGCAATGGAAGCATATCAAGATTGAAAACGAACTAAAAGAGTCATTTTATATTTCTTTATCACTGAAGCGCGCAATACGTGAAAAATACATTATTTTCAAAGATTTTTCAGGTGAGTTCTTCTAACGAAGAAAGAAAAGGACATTTGTATCGTTGACTGAATTATCAATGATTAAGAGATACATAACTTTTTTTTCACGGATGGAATAAACAAATAAATATGTTTTCATCTATTTTTCTAATTATTTTCTTTCTGAACTGATATTTAAGAAAAATAGTTTCCCATGGTCCAATAATGAATGTGTTTATATCCGTTAGTATTCTAACGACTGTCGATATCATTAACATAACGTTGTTGTAGAAACTTATTACTTTTTTTCGCTGAAGTTTTCAATGTAAATGATTCATGATAGACATTAACAAATGAATAATCAGTTTTTTGTCGTTGTTAGTGTAATAATATTACAAAAGTAAAATTTTGAATTGCGTCGGATATAAGAGACAAATAATATCCTTTTGTTATTTATTGACAGAACAGGTAGATAAAATAAGAAACTGAATAACATTAGCTTCTTATCTATGATAATAATCAACTTTTCCTTTAGAAAATAATGTTTCTTATTCATCAGTTAAGTACTCATAGCAAAAAACAGTTTATAATAGAATTCCTAGAAGAATCATTATTTACTTGACATTAATCATCTTGATTCTACTCAACACAATTTTTTTATTTTATTTTATTCGATGGCAAAAGTTTATGAAAAACTACAGGTAAAGCTTTAGCTGATATATACCAATAATTAAATTTTAGTAAATATTTCCTCTTTTATCGCATATATTTTCTTCAAACATGTAAAATTTGTAAAAAAAAAAATAATTTAGAATAATCAAATTCATTGCCATCTGATTGAGATAGAAAACAAAAACATTTGATTTTTCTTGTTAATAAATCAAAAATCTTCATATATTTTTATTGTATTCCTTTAGAAGTTACTTACAAGCTATGAAGATTGGCCTAAAGCAATTATAACAGAACAAACATTTATTGACTCTGTATACATAATTCGTGGCAAAGATAAAGGAAGACCAGCATGGCATTATCTTATGGTTCCTATTAATAAAGTTGCTGATCTAAAGACATATCCACCACAAATAACTATTGATATCAACAAATATGGTCGCCAGGTTAAATATCTTAATAATCGAGATGAAACTAAACACATGTCTGGATGGGGAACTGACCCACCCATAATAATTCAAACATGGATTCAAGAGCAGTGTAGTAAGAAAAAGTCAACTTTTTAAACTTATCTATTTGATGAAATGGATTAAGAGTCACAAGAAAAAAAAAACGATAGTTAAAGTTTTCTATGTCGATTATTGTTTTCATTCATAAATAAAACGTTAACAGTTTAATTATTTGGATGATGAAATGTTTCACAAATATTCTAATTACTTAATTATGCATCATTCTGATATGAAATCTTAAGAATATTGCTATTATATTTACTAATATAGATAAAATAGCTTTTTCTCGATTTCAGGGTTTTATACATTTATATAAAGATAACACAAAAATAGAATGATTATTCGGAATACTCTAACAAAATTAACCCTTTGAGGACGGGATTACTTTTGACAAAAAATCACATTTTTAAAACTCTGAATTAATATATTTACTGGAATGAATGTGTATAAGGGCACAATACGAATGGTAGTATAGTACCACAATATTGGTGACAAATCCATATAGTCTGCACTAGATATAGATCATAACTAGACAATAAGAGGGATATACAAGTAAATTACGAGCCGATCTGAAACAGTTGCCTATATATAGGCTTCCCGTCCTCAAAGGGTTAAATAATAAAAAGTAGCTTTTATATTGAACTAAGTAAATCTAGCAGATCTTAAGAAACTTTTATTATGTTTGTGAACATTGATTTTGATAAAATTGAAAGCTGCTATATCCCTCAATTGACCTATTAGTAAAATAATAAGAATTTTTTTTTAAGTGAACAATTAGATATAAGACTAATGATTTTTCTTTTTTTTCAAAATATTCTTTTAATGTAGCTTCACCTGCTGTTGATGAAAACATCAATTTGACATACACAGACGATGATATTCGACTGTGTACAATGCAACGTGCCGTACCACAACAAAGAATAGGCGTTTATTTTCACTATTTTGCACCACAACGATTTCATTACATCAAACTAACTGAAGATGCACCATCAAGTTTAGCTCGTCGAGCAGGATTAAAAAACTATGATCGAATTATCTTTCTTAACGGTGTCAATATTGAGAATGATAATTATGATCAGTTTTATTATCGGTTTGATACTGAACGACATCTTCCAGTTCAAATGCTTGTTTGTAGTCCAGCCACATATGAACACTATAAAACTAATAAAAAGCTTTTTCATAATGATCTTACAACTATTCAACGTTTAAAACCTGTCTATGCGACATCAAGTAAATAACATACATCTGATTTTTACATCTAGTCTGATTGTTATTTCATTTATTGATTTAATTTTAGCATCAGACTCTGATACAGATATGTCAACAGTTTCTGTTGATAATTCAATTTTTTGTGCTGTTCAATGGGAAAATAGCATTATTGTTTCTATAGTACCTCAATCAGCGATTTTCAAATCACCTGAATTTACTGCATCAAATGATGTCTGTTTTATTGAAACAAAAGGACAATATCGTAAAGGACAAATTATCTTTAAAGGTTTGTTGTTAGTTATTATTCATAAAAACTATTTAAAAAGAATTTTATTTATTTTTAGGTTCAAGAAATGATTGTGAACAGTTGAAGATGTCTTCCATTTCACCAGACATTGGTGACATTTCCAGTACTTTGACTAATCCATTTGTTAGAACAGCATCAAACGCTCTGGTTTCAACCACAAATCCTAGCCATGAATTTACTGATGGCAAGTCTATAACTTCATTAGATGCAACAATCACATCATCTTCATCAAAATCATCTCAGGTATATGTTATATAAATGAGCTAATTATTTCATAATGATTCTGTTTATCCATACCAAATTCAATTGTATAATCATTGAAGAAAAACTAAAAGTTGAATTTTTGTACTTTATTTAATGTGCATTCAAAAACCAAATATTCTGACAAAATATTTATTTATTGTAGAAACTGGAAATAGATACAATGCAAAGCCAAATAACTATACGGGATGCAAATGATGACACTAAAATAAGGCCGAATATTGATCTTATTCAACATATTCAAGATCGTAAGTTACAACTAGATGCCATGATCAACAAAAGACTAAAATCGTTAAATAAAAATCTATGAAATTATCTTCAACCAGTACATTTCAATCATTCTTTCACCTTAAAATGTACAATTAAATGAAGAAATCGGCTAAGATTATGATCCAAATAGTATTCTGTACAGAGACGAGTTTTTTTTTGTAATGAAACACGCACCGGAGCTATTAGATATACAGAAGATACTTTCGCAGTCATAATACGATTTTCAAATTTTTATTTTATGCGAAAAACTATACTATTTAGTTTCTTCCATAAATATCAACGAAAACAAAAGGGATCAACGTAGATTTCACAAAAAAGCAAGTGAATCATGTTTCTCTTGTTGTTTTGTTGCTGATAACGTTGAAATAGATCTTAGTGTTAACGCCAAACATCATAATTATGGATATATACGTGAATGCTTTTTTTTATCATCAGTAATGCAAGTTCACCTTTTTGATAATTCATTCTCTTGTCTAACGCTTTTATCTAAATAACATTTTGAGAAAAATAAAAATATTTTGAATTGTTGAAATCTCATTAACTGTTAGAACGGATTCAGTTATAAGATCATACTTGGCACTCGAACGGGCTTGGTGACTTTGCACTGAGACCCATGCTTCAGATTGAGTCTGCTGCCGGATAACTGATCGAGTTGCAACACATTAGGTTAAGACAGTATTGGATATCATATTATTCAAATACTATGATGTAATTATCAAAAATCATTTCTATTATGATAAGTGTAACATTGAAGAAAATATTTTTCAATTCATTAGAAATGATCAGAACAAATTGTTGAAAAAAAATAATATATTAAAACATAGCTACTGATTATTATCCTACTAAAAATAAAAATAATTTTACTTTTCTTTAATACATTTTAGGTATATGTAGTACACTTGAAGATCTTCCAAACGAACTATTTTATTATTTATTCACTTTCATCGGTATTCAACATTTATATAAAACTTTTTGGGGACTTAATTCACGACTAAACAATATTTTTCAATCCTGTTACAATTTATCTCTAATATTAGATGAGAAAGTTGATCTGTTGTTGATTAAGTTATATGCACCTTATGTCATTCGTTTGATAACTAAGACATCGATCGATTGTGACTTTAGTCAATTTTCCAATTTACATACAGTGGTATTATGTAATACAAACCCATCTCTTATGGCTCAAATTCAGTCTAAAATGATTCCCAATCTGACTCATCTATCATTTTTGTTAGGATCTAAATTTACTCTACCACATCAATTAGTTTGTGATGTCTTCTCCAATAAAATTCCATCTCTTCGTCATGTTAATTTGGGTTGTATTGATGAGTTCACTCATCATTCATGGACTATATCACCTTCTCTGCAGTTTGTATCAATCCTTTCGTGTAAACCAACGTTTATTCCGATCATTCTTGCTTCATGTCCCTATCTTCATCATCTTCAAGTTCATATTTCTCATAGTGATAATTATATGGTCGCTTCAACTTCATCATTAAATCATCCACTTCAAAGACTGACTCTTTGGAGTGATTATACCGAATTAACTTTTAATGATATTGACAATATTCTTACTTATACATCTAAGATTGAATATTTGTATTTACAAACAATATATTCTATGTCTTTGATCGATTTAGCTCACTGTTTAATCAATCGACTGCATTATTTGTCTCAATTCGACTGTTACATTAAAGAAATGTTGTCAAAGAACGACAGAATTGCTAATTTAACTACTTTACATCAAATTCATGCTTGTTTTAATCGAATACAGTTTATTGAAGAAAATGATGAGTTTCGAACTATTGCTACAAAATAA